AAAAAAAAAAAAAAAAAAAAAAAATAGGGCGCTTGGTAAGCTGATGAGTGTAATATGTAGAGGGGACGGCATCTTGTCTATATATGATATTCGACAACCCCTGACCAAGATCAAGGTATCTCAAGAGATAGACGACGAACTTTTATCGCTTACGACCGTCAAGGTAAATTAATGGCGTATTTTTTTTTCTATGTGCTAAATACTGTCTATAGGATGGACAAGCGGTGATTGCAGGATCTCAAAGTGGAGCACTATACATCTGGAACAACGCAGAGTGGTCATCACCACCGATCAAATGGATCGGTCATCCAAACTCGGTGGATGCCCTATGCGCACTCGATCAGGACACGATCTGCAGTGGCAGCAGTGACGGCCTCTTACGGCTTATCACCGTGTCACCTAACTATAAATTTGAAGGTATCCTAGGTGATCACGAAGACGAGTTTCCGATCGAGCGTATCGTCCTGACCCATGACCGAGCCTACATGGCCAGTTGCGGACACGACCTCTCTCTCCGTTTTTGGAATGTTGAGTTCTTGTTTGAATCGCAAAAGAAACGCAAATGTACAGAGGAGCCAGAGTCAGTGAAACGTGCCAGGTTCTTTCAAGATCTATAGCTTCAAACTCCGGAGCGATCGCGCCCTCTTTTGTATATCAGATATTGATCCCCAATTTTTTTTTTTTCTTTTTCTTTCTATTGTTCTCTCATTTTAAAAAAGTAAGCATTCAAGCCATTATTGTCACAATAAAAAACTTATACCCCATATATAGTGTCTTACCACACCACTGGAAACAAGTTTGACGCCAAAGATACCGAACTCGAAGGTTTGCTCGAAAATAACCGTCAATGGGCCCAAGCGGTTCAAGAAACGGACCCCAACTTTTTCAAGACGTTGGCTGAAAAGCAAGAGCCCAAGATTTTATGGATTGGTATGTGACCTAAAGCAAGACAATATCATATTAATCCTTGTCATAGGTTGTTCTGATTCACGTGTCCCCGTCAACCAAATCGTTCAACTCGGTCCTGGTGAAATCTTTATCCATAAAAACATCGCCAACGTGGTTTGCCATTCCGATTTGAATTGTCTCTCTGTTTTGCAATACGCTGTCGAGGTATTGAAGGTGGAACACATTGTTGTCTGTGGTAAAAATTTTTTAGTGGGGATTGTTTGTTATCTGTTTTTGGTAACACATGGTAGGACACTCCAACTGTGGTGGCGTTGCCGCTGCTTTAGGTCAGCAGCAATTTGGCTTGATTGATAACTGGCTTAGAAATGTCAAGGACGTCTACCGATGTAAGTTATATTTAATCTACATGATTTGTCATTCATTGTGCTTTTTATTAGTGAATCAGAATGAAATGGACAAAATCGACAATGCTAAGGAGCGTTTGATGAAACTTGTTGAATACAATGTCATCAATTCTGCTGAAAACATTGTTCACTCTACGATTGTTCAAAACGCATGGAAGAGAGGTCAAAAGTTGACTGTACATGCTTGGGTCTATAACCTCGAGAAAGGGTAAGTTTTGTTTTTGACGTTATTTTTTTTTTTTTTTTCTAACATTATAATGTAGTTTGCTCAAAAAGTTGGATTGGGCTGCTAGAGACCAAAAGAATACTAAATCTATTTATGTCATGTGTTAAACGATAAGCAATAAAGCTGTTATTTATTTACATTTTTTTTTAAAAAAAAAAAATTGGAAAGGTTATGAGAGATGACTAATGATGGTTTTCATTTCATCCATTACTGCTTGTTTTGTTTATTTAAAAAAACAAGGGGCAGGTCATGTTTATGATCCTTGTGACCTTGTAAATGTGTTTGGATCATTCATTACATCACATATCACAGCTTTTTTTTTAATTTTCATTGTTTCAAAAGAGTATTTATTAAATGTGCATCCAAGTTCTGATCTTCTAGTGACACATTAGAATTTACTCAAACTTTTTTTAGCAAAAAAAAAAAAGCGTTCACAGTTACTGTCAGGACTCATACTGGAGAAAATGACAAGAAATTATCTTTTTGGTAACAAGTTTATTTATACGCATTTTGCTAGTTCTGTTCAATACGATTTTAATAAAACATAGCCACAGTTCAGGGGAACCGTCTTTTGTTAGCGAACACAGTTCACTGTGAGAATGAATAAATATAAATGGAAAATAATCATATGATAACTCCTTTAGATTTTTTTGACATAAATCTAGTTACACGTATTAAGGAGAATTCAAAGCTTCCTTTTATGCTCCCTCCTGTTCTTTTTCTCTTCCTTTTTTCCCTTTCTTTCATGGCTGTAGATATACAACAGGTCAAAAAGCTAGAAAATGGATCATGCTACACTCGAGTGATTCTTCTGGCAAGAAAGATACGTACTCAGATTGACAAAATCAAACGTCAGAAAGGATACAACATGCCCAAGATCCAACAAGCTCAAAAGGTAAATAAATAAAAAAAGTGAAAACATGAATTCATATTTTTGCCCTAGAAACGAAATGGACTGAAGGGTATTCTGACAAGGACCTACCATGTTGGATCTCTCTTGTTCACACAAACCCTCGTTTCAAAGCGAACGTCCGGGTTCTATGTTTGTCGAGACATGCTAAATGGTGAAAGACGAGACGTGTTGAAGTTGTTTATGACGACCTCACAATACGATCACCTTGTTCCAATCTATGGCTTTACCTTTTGCCTACAGAAGCTAACACAGCGCGAAAAAGAAAAGGACAGGAAGCTGAGAGAGATCAGAAACACGACGGTACGATCAGCGCTCATGTTTTGGTCCGAGCGCACGACAAGCACGTATTTTCCGCCTGTCAGTCTGGCGATTGATATCCTGCGAGTAGACGGGATCAAGATCTATATTGTCTACACAGCAACTAAAGGTTTATTCACTTAAAAGTTTGCACCATATCCAAACGCACTCTTAATCGCTCTCCAGTAATATCCCGACCAATTGTTTCTCGTCAAGTCCTCTTCACCTACAGGAACGCCCGTCTGCTCGACCTTGAGATCTACTGATTCTGAACCCTGTTCGAAGACCATAGTCACCTGCGAGTAATGACCTGCGGGCCAGGATCTAAGTCGCCAGGACTGCACAATCTTCTTGGCAGGCTCCAGCTCCAAAATTTGGCCAGTGACATTACCGCCAAACAGCTCAAAGTCTGATCCCACTTCCTTTGACAGTTTCACGGGGCCTCGAGTCCAGACAGAAGCAAACTGGGGGTCCATCAGACGTTCGTACAACTCCTCGGCAGATGTCTGGAAATTGACCGTATCCTTTAATGTCGTCGTGTTCACAATCGCCTTCTTCACAGGTTCCGTTGTGCTTGTGTTCTTGGGCGCAAACTGGGTAGCGCTTGATTTTTCGCTGTGTGCAGCGCGGGGAGGAGCAGGTGTGCCCATCTTGGAAGCCTCGATATAGACATCCTCACAGTTTTCCTTGATCATCGCAGCAGAGAATCCTTCGAATTTCTTGATCAATAAAGGTGTCAAGTCTTTACGAATTACTTCTTTCAGTGCTTGCTTTGAGCTGTTATCGTCATAGATGCTGATCTCGAACTGTTGTTTTTTAACATCTCTACATGTATTTTTTTACACATATAAAGGAGCTTACCACATAATCATCTGAATCGGTATCATGAGCAATTTCGGGAATAGAGATAGATCCCTTAGCTTCAGTGCCATCAGCCAAAGTACCTAGAGAGATGTGGTTAGATTGTATCAATGCCTTGTCCTATTTTATTACCAGTCCATTCGAGCTTTAACACAAGGTCATAGATAGTAACCATCTTTCCTTTTCTTTGGTTCAAATCCGCATCGCCTGAACAATCGACCATCTTGCTGATCCATGCCTTGTTTCCATCTCGTTCAGCTTCTAGTCCAACCAACTGTTCTGTAAAGTACTTTTGAGCCCATTTTAAACAGTTCTTATTCACCCAGTGCCTATGAAAATCAATGTCAGCACTGGTATGTAAGCAAACAAAAGCGTATCTACCAGTTATTGACGTTTTTCCAGTTTGACATTTTTTTATATTTTTATTTGATGGAATAAAAAGAAAAAAGAAAAAAGAAAAAAAGAAAAAAAGAAAACGCGAATATGGATTGTTATCGAATTTACTGGAAGAGTGAAGACAGGATATGGAGTGACATAAAATTAAGCAAGTCACACCAGCTTCTCTTAAAAGGTTGTTTTGCCATGCAATGAAAAAAAGATTAGAGCTTTTTTTGGGAGATTCTTGGCGCACTCCCAGATTTCGGAGTAGTGCGCGATGAGTGTGTGCTTTCTATTTCTGCTACATGATCCCGTAACTTTTTATGCTGATTCCATTAGTATAGAAATCATCACGAACGCGATGATCCTTATAGGCGTAAGCCACTGACAACATGTTAAATCAATTAAGGAAGTGTTATGTGTATTCAGACGCTTCAAAAACCCATTTTTTGTGAAATAAGGTGGTATAAAACCGTTGTTAAACAGCTATTCATTTACTATTTTATATTCAGTCCAATTAAGTAAGTAGTAGCTCATAGGAGTAAGATATAAGAATATTATAAGAGTATCAAGTGTGTCTATTTATTGTAAAATTGTTAATATATGCAGTTGCAGTTATAAATGGAATAATCTCTAGCGCAGAGAGTTGAATTTCTTTTGACAAGTGCTTTGTGATATGGGTTTAGAACTGGGATGGGGAATTTTACTGGCCTTCCAATCTTTGTTCGAGCAGTTTCTATCAAATAGAAATGATTGTGATCCAGTAAAATATTAATGACAGGGTAGTTAGTTGGCTCAGACGCAAGAGGTGCAAAAAAGTTGCTTGTTTTAAATGGTTTGCCATTAAATGAAGTCTTTGAAAAGACGACAATACTGCGAACAAAAGCGTCAGCAGCGATCTGCGGACAGCCAGTGGTGTTGAACCAATACTGGATTGGGCATGGCGATAGGTTACAAGACAAGCTTTTTTCAAAGATGTCACTATCCTCCACTCGATTTGCATATAGTGTATCCTTATACTTCTGATATGTTTTGAGTACCTGCTCCTTTACCTCCTTCCAACTATTTTGATTGCCATAAATTGCCATACTAATGGCTCTGTATCCGCAGTTTCCATCTGCGTCAGGACTATATATTTTAGCCACCTTCTCAAAGCCAACTCCAAAGTCTTGGCCAAAGCTACTTACAATACTAGCATGTTCATTGCTTTCATAGGTGATGCTAAAAGTGTAAGAAATTATCGATAAGTTTTCCTTTAACATATACTGTTAGATAGATATGAGATCTACCTCATGTTATTGCTGTTCTTGTTAAAAGCATTTGCTTCTGTGCATGCACTATTGGCCTTTGTAGCATAATATATTAGCAAGCAATGGCTTTGGATTAACGCCTTCTAACTTACATCTGCGATTTGTCTTTTTTCGACTGTTTTTAATTTACTACCAAAAGTGAAAAAATGAATATTCTATGGGACTATTTGAAAAGTATTACTTACATTATAAGTTGTTTTTCTTTCAATATCTTTTTTTCAAGTTCAAGCTGTGATGTTTTATATTCTAGTTTTTCTTTTTTTCGCTGCTCTTCTTTTTCTATTTTCATTCTTTTTGCCTCTCTTTTCTTTTTATCTTCTTCATATATCTCCAAAGAAATTGCTGATCTTTTAGTGTTTGACTTTCTTCCTTTATTATTTGCATTTGTAGGTGGCGGTAATATGTTTTCTAGCTTGTACTTTGGCCCAAGTAGTTTTTTTTTTTTTTTTACATCAGTCAAGTTTTTAAGAGCATCAATAAGATGCTGTTGACAAAACATGGCCCTTGTGATAGCTTGTATATATGTCAAAGCATTATTAATGTATACATGCAAGTCTGAAATTAGTTGTTCTGAAAAACATTACGCATTAGTAAACAACCAAAATCCGTAACACGTCCATTAAAAAACGAGAATGTAGAACGCCTTACCGTTTTTTTCTTGATAATCTACAGGCTACGCATCATTATTTTCTTCTTTACATGCAGCAGTGTCTGTTTCTTCAAGTGCATCTTCAATTTTTTCAAATTTATTTTCTTTTTCTTCGTTTTCTTCTATCTTTTCATCATCCTCTTGTACCATTTCAATGCACTCTTCGTTTGCTAATTTTTTTTCTTCAGCTTCAACATCATCTTCTAAAATCAGAGTTAATGGCGCTAATTTTATAGTACATAAGTTTATTACCGTGGTTAATCCACCATCGGCGATTGACTGCGCTTAATGGTATAATATCATATTGGGACAAGGTATGAAAGCATGGAATTTTGAAGTTCACAATACAGGCACAAGAGTCGCAGGTGTTTCTTTGCTGGCTAGATGGTTTTGTTCTGCCATATTCAACTTCCTTTCTGATTCTGTCCATCGCGAATCTTGTTATTTTAAATTCAAGTTGTTTAAACTTATATTCGATTGATTTATCATACAAGCATTTCAACTTGAGCTTGCCTCCTTCATTTCTCCCTCTGTTCATTTCAAGAAATTATCAATAGACCTGTATTTATCATGGTCTGCATATTTTCGTACCATTGCTGAATACCAAAAGTCTATCTTCGCAGTTATGGTGGACATCTTACCGTAAGAAACTTTTCCTAATGCAGTTTTTATTGCTGCATGGGCACCTTCTACTCTATTTGTAGATCTATTGCCAAGATGCGCATACCTGTTGGCATAGTAGCCAACCCAATGCTTACGCCCTTTCAACGTGCTTGATAAAAAAAAAATGCATTACTATTTGCCCTCATTGTTTACCAATAGCTTTGGTGTAAAGACTAACCTCTCCAAGTATTCTATGCCACTTGATCCCTTATTTTTGCAGTGTCCGGGAGTTTTTAAAAACTTCTTAAAGTTTTCAATGCTTTCATTCATGCCTTTTTGAGTCTTGCAGAAAACATTTTCTGGAATACTTCCTCCAGTTGCAGCTCTAGAACTGTCCTGTGGGCAGGGGCTTCAGGCGTGAATGAAGGTCAAATGTTGGTGATGAAGTCTCGTTTAAGATAAATGTAGCAGAGCAAGCTACCTGAAAAAGGAAACATCGCTTTGATCGCGCTATGAATAGCCTTGTCATTATCAGTAACGAATACTTCAGGATAATCGTTCTAGTAATTTGGCCAAATAGACTCCCTTAACTGTTCGAAAGCCCAGGTATATGTGGTCTCTAGTTCGTTACTCACCCACGCACATGCAATTGGAAACGTTTGTAGGCTTTCTCTATCAGAGTCAGTGCTTGTAACGTTTGTTTTGTATGTTGTATCCACTATGACAGATTCTGGCATCACCCTTGCTTCTTTGATTGCTTCTTCATGAGTGAAAGATACTGAACAAATACGATTCTATGAATCTACAGTGAATTGTACAAGGTAATTCTTCCCTTGAAGACTAGAGGTGAAGGCGTATATTTCTTTGGATGAGTCGCTCTTGAAAAAAAATGTCTTTTATATTGTAAATATCTTTCTTCAAGACGTTACTTATGCCATTCAAGCGCAATACCTGGACTTGTACAGAATTAGCAACAAGAGCACTAATATATATTTTAAATAACTCACTTGCATGATCCGGGGAACTTCAGTCTTCCAGAAGGGGAAGCAACAAGCTTGATAAAGCATTGGCACTCGTTCCTTTGGATATCCCTGATAATCATCTTTTTATTTAAGCTGTCTTCTTCAAAATCCCAAGGAACGGCATCTTTTGGTTGCTCATCTTCAGTTGCTACCTTTTTTCCTGGTTTATACTTACCAAAGTGCTTGCAAGCCAAAGCAAGGTAGGATTTTTTTGCATTGGAGCGAACAGTAACAAAAACAACGTTCCCTTTTTTACCGAAATTCGCGGCAACGCTGCGAGCTTCAGCAATGCTGACATACTCACAATCTACACCAAACCTTTCAGAGAATTCGACATTCATATCTTGAACCAAGTTCACAATGTTGTTTTCGACGGCGTTGGAATTCATAGCTTAGGTTATATCTTGTAAATTAGATAAAGAAAAGAAACAAGGGTGACAAGTTTTTCCTTTATTATAATTAGTGAAATTAAAAACCAGCTTCTTCGAGCTTCAAAAGATATAATAGCTGTTATACTGCTCTTTCATGATATACTCAAGGCGCATGAACAGTTTTGAATTTAAACATCCGAATCAGGAACAATGAATGGTCAAGCCTAAACATGCGCACTCCTCGCGCACTGCTCCAAGAGAATGCAACGTCACTATTTTGAAATTTGGGAGTGCGCCAAGAATCTCCCTTTTTTTTGCATTTTCCATCTTCACACTCTGGTAAGTAACTAAGGAAATGCTGTATATCAGGGTTACTCGATGAGCATGAGTGTATCTTTACGACTAGATCGTATTGCTCTCCTCTTGTTTGTTTGCTCTATAAAGGCCTAATGGGTGGTCAGAAACTCTTTGTATGATAAAGTAACATCCCTTACTTATTTGCTCTGCAAAGACCTGATGGCTGGATCAGATAAACTCTTTGTATGATTGAGTAACGCCCCAGCTGTTATGTTCAAGTGCATCTTTACGACTTGATCGTATTGCACTCCTTGGGCATATTCCTACATAAATGCCGAATAAGCTGGTGTATGAAAATTGTTTTGTCCATCTGACGATAAACTATTTATGTAGAGGCTGCCTGATGTATTGCACATTATATATTATGCTGATTATAAAATATCACATTACTAACTGATTCATCATTTATTTTTTTTTTTTTTTACTTTCATGGCTAACGGGAGATTTAGAAGTATTATATCGGAAACTCACGGCAAGACAATATCTCGCAACATTCACTAAAGATTGATACCAACAAGCGTTTACGGCAGTCCCTACTTAACAATTGATAAGCAACATGTCAAGCACAAGCATTTCCTTATTGTGTGAAGCAAGTAAGTCTACAACCAAACAATCCAATTTACTTCTAATATTTTTTTCCAAAGGTGAAGAAGATGAGCTGTTTACATTTTATGAAAACTACTTCAAAACCACGCACGTCAAATCATGGAAAGTATTAGACTTATTTAAAGCATTGCTGGCTGAATACAAGCCAATTTCATACGATTGCATGTCGATTTTTGTTCATACTTTCAAAAGATTTGGACAAAATTATACTTCCAATAATGTCAAGATACAGCATACCATGAAAAACTTGTTAAATAAGTGCGACAATGTTATTAACTCTGACTTGGCAAGAACGCTCGTGATGAAAGAACGTGTAGAGGTAAATGTTTCACTTCACGTATATTTTACATATATTCTTCTAATATTTTTTAATATGAACATCTTGGACACAGCAATCGAGACTTTTATACTGTACTCATGTTGATGATGATGTATTGAAGGACAAGACCAATGTAATAAATCAAAATGTAGTACATCCAATTACTTCTCCATTATCCAACCAAATATCAAGTTTAAAAGTGACCCCACAATCATCTTCATCGTCAAGTACATTAGCAGCAACAACATCCACATCATCAAATATACCATCAACGCTGAAGAGAGTCGACAATGATGATCCATTACCCTCATCTCAAAACAAAAGAAGAAATCGTTTAAGTGTAAACTATGTCAAAGGGCTGAGCTTAGGTGAAAAGTTACAATACTTAGCTGATTATTAGTAAGTTTAATTACTACTTTGACGTCCTTTTCATCACTAGCGATCTGTTTCATCTTTTTCAAGTATTTGATAGTTGTCGCATGGCATTCAGTCCTACAAAAATGAATTAGATAGCATGTTAGCTCCTCCTCTTACATATTAGGGGGTTTTGATATGTGTTACCTCTTTGTAACATAACAAGGATCAAACAGGAAAACAGCATCAAAAACATCGGCATACAAATGCCCTTGGTACCACCCTTCTTTATGAGTAGTATCTCGTAGTTGATCGCATTGACAAAGTAATAGCCTGATAATAAACAATTATTACAATTAACGTTCATCAAGCAGAATATAAACAAGTTAACCTACAGTTTTGATAAAGCAATGTAAATATACGATTGAAGACCAACACGAGGAACCAGCGAGATACCCTTCACAATTGCTTCTATATCATGCAATGATGTTGCTTTGATGACCTTGATAAGAATTGACCTTTCGTTTCTAGTGTACTTAAGTGATAGTGGCATTTGCAAATCAGCGGAAATCCGCGTAACGATACTTTTGAAACGAGCAGGAATAGCACCAGGGGATACGAGGTCCAACGTATTATCATTACCACTAGAGAAAATGAGGAGAAATGTGTTAATATATAACAGCAATTGAATACAGGGATTCTATATCTTATCTTATTTAATACTCAATTAGGTGATATCTTTTCATGTGAAGACAAACCAGCTGAAGCAAAAGAAGCAGATGTTGAGGCAGATATCAAGAAAGCCAAGGACCTCCGCCAGAAGCGTCTCCTGTATATCAAGTCCATTCTGCCCCATCCATCACTGATCAATACCGTTGAAGTTATCAGCTCGCAATTTTATGGTTTATCTTTAACAATTTATGGCTCAAGAATGACCGAGACAGGAACCATCATTCATTATCAAAAAGGTGTAGCAAGTCTTTCCCCAGTATTCAACATGCCAGAAGTAGCCCACTTTTTACTCACAGTCATGTCTTTGCAAGTAATGTTACTTTTATTATTTTCATTCACAATTGCCATTAATACGTTTTTATAGCGAGCGATTGTATTGGATTTGAAGAAACTTACAGCAATATACCAAGTAGGCCTTGAAGACTCGATCAGCTTCTTATCATCTAATAATGATGACATGTTTTATCGTGTTGACTCCCCTATTTCAGATGATGCTTCAGACACCTCGACCAGTAGCGATATGATGGAAATGGAAAGATTACGTAGAATATTGAAGCTAACTACTGACAAGGTTAATGCAATTGATCTTGATGACGATCTGTTAAGCTGTGAAGACTGGGAAGATCTCCTAATACTTGATGAAAATGACAATTAAATTTGCTTGTCGTCTCCCCCTTTCTCTGTTTTCTTTGCAGTTTTATATACATATATCAATCGATAAACATCGTTATATCGTTTTAATTATTAAAATACATGTCCCTGCCATATGAATAAATCATTTAATATCAAGGAGTAATTGAAACATGCACAATCAGGATTGCATCCAGATTTTTCAAATTTGAATTTTTGAACATTATCAACTGTTCTGTTCCTGGAACCAGAGTGTTTCTAATAATTGTATAAACACTTCAAGTAACAAATCTGGTTGCAGCAACATGGCTCGCGTACAACATTTGCTCGGAAGGTGCCCTTATATTTTCTCAGATTCAAGTTTTTGAAGGCAAATATTCATATTCTATCGGTTTATATACTTCTGCACAGTTTGTATACTCCATATACAGTGCTTCCACTCTCAATTTACCGAATTTTTGAAAACTCTGCCCACTTGTGCGAGACTAATTGCCCATAGAAAGGAGACTTATTTGGCCAGATGTTTGAAGCTAATTTGACCAGGTTTGAGAGAATAAATTAAGTACCTTTTACAGATATTTTGACCAACTTCTGGTCATATAAATTACAAAGGTTCTTTATTTAAGCATTTAGGGAAACGATTTATGGAATGCTGAATGAAACTCTGCAAATGTTCAACCGGAACTTTCATTAACCCTTAAAGTGAGGCTTCCACATCAGTCAACTTACTTCTTCTGACGCTATCCTTCAAAACTTTCCAAAACTACTCGATAGGGCTGAGCTCAGGAGAATAAGGCGGGTATCCTCGTTCAATAATTACAGAATCGACGATATTTCGCTCTTTTTTGGAAGTTGCTTCGTCGATATCAGTGTCTCTGGGCTCTTGTTCTTCATCTATTTGCGGAGATTCGTCAAATTTATTAGTGGAATGATGATTCTACAACAACGAAGGCCGACGCTTCTTTGCCAGACTCATCTACAATCCTACCTCTACTATATTCGTGAAAGAAATTAATTCTTGAGAGTTACAGTTATGAAGAAATAGAAATATCAAAAAGTCGGTTAATTTGTTTTCACAAACTTGGCCAAATGTCTCCTTTCTATGGGCAATTTAGTCTCGCACAAGTGGGCAGAGTTTTCAAAAATTCGGACAAATACTTTTAGTAAAAATGACAAAATGAATTTGTGAAATATATTTTTCAGTTTCCGACAGTTATTTTTACCCTTCGACCAATCATTTTTATGAAAGTGACAATTATTTTTGTGAAAACGCCAATTTCCATAAGTCTGACTGTACCATCCTTCCCCACATTTGTTTTCAACATAATTTATTCTCAGCATCGACGTCATTCTAGGTTTGTTGTTGTTGTTGTTGGACACACACATATGTATTTTACGCTTTTTGTACCTTATTAAAATGAATGCACTGGTTGCACTCTTACATTTCTGTGAGGTGCATGGACCATGTGTTGTATTTTGTACACAAACTATGCATGAAGAGCAATCACTGGACATGAAGAAATCAAACAATGGCAATTGTGCTGCTTGTACAGCACAGTTTCCTCTAGTCAATACTGGACAATCTATTTCAGAAGCTAAGTATTTGATCACGACAGATGAAGAATACCCCAATATTAAATATATTGGTACAAAGACACCGCCACAAAACCATTTGTATAAAGCAGTTAGACTTGCCTGTGTTCGAAGGTAGAAGGGTACATTTTTTCTTTGTCCGACCTTACTGATACATACGCAGCCTTACAGCCGAATTTTGTCAAGGAAGGGATGGACCTGTGCTATTTGGAGATGATGAAAATGGATATGTGATGAGTTATATGTTCAAGTTACGTGATTCACAAGCAAGAGGAGAAGCCAGATTTTATTCATTCATGATATTGATGGCAGATAGAGTCTATTTGATCTCATGTTGGCCATTCATTGTTAGGTAAATCAAATGGCTCATGTGTGATTTCTCCGTAATGATTTCTTTATAGTGCATTCAAATCCATGGTGATTCAGTTACAGGAAAGAGCAAATGCTGTGTTTCAAAAGGAAAAAGAAGTTAAACAACAGCAGCAGCAGTTTTCATATTATTCGATAAGTAATAGACGAGGTGCACCCATCTCACAAGGTTTGAACATACATGTATACAAAAGAGAGAAAAGTGAAGTAATGATTGTTTATGCGTATAGAACAATTTTTCAAGAGACGAAGTCATACGCCCCTAAGATCGCTGGTTGATCTATTAGGCATTAAAGTATGCAGTGCGTAGTAACGAACTTTTATTAATGTTCTGTAGGATATTTACATACACATTCAAGCTCAATTCAGTTTTGTCTTAAAACTTGCTTCAAGAAAAAGAATAGAAAAACTGAATCCTGGTAGAACAGAAAGCATGTTATATTTAAAGATGGTAAATCAGAAAAATAAAAGGATTTCTATTACTGACTTTTACATAGAAAGAAGAATATTTGGCGAAAAGGCATCAACAACAGCAAAAAGAAGAACAAGGATAGAGCTTTGAATAAATTCTTTTATTTACATGAACAGAATTTCTCTTTCAAATGCGCTATGAGGATTATGCAAAAGCACTTTGCACATATCCTTGAGGAGTACAGTCTATGATTTGACATGTTATCTTTTTTAATTATCCTGTTCTTGATATTATTACCATCGTTAAGCCATAGAGAATATTTGGTATTAGTGAAGATATCGCTACGAAACTTGCAGAGAGACTGAGCGGGATTATGTTTGAATTTTTGGAACAATCTGCACATTTAGCTGCCACCCAGTTCATCTATATGCATGTTGTTGAGCTCTATGGATATGGTTCAATATACAGTTTTTCTCTAAAGTAATATCTCATAATTCAAAAATTTATAACCTCATGTTGGAACGTGTCAGTATACTACAGGCACAGTTCTTCTTTTGTTCCTTTTATTTGCCAGAAGATGTGCTACTTGTTTGTCTGTTATCGTACATACGCAATATCAGAAAAAACCAGTGGTACGCTCTCTCTCTCTCTCTGGTGCATCGCTTTGGAAAACGGTACTGTCTATTACTGAGGAACCCGGCATTCGCTCACTCAAGGCTGCAAAACAACGCTTTCTGCAACAAAATTTAGAGATCCACCAAAGATGTCGAAACTCCAACCTGCTTTCTAAGTGCTGTTGATCAATCTCTCTGGACCCTATGGTCGCCCATGTCTAAGCCAGAACGTTGTCACTGTATGCGTTGGAGACTAGGCTGGCTTCCCGGTGGCAAGCCTCGACCATATACCAAGCACCCAACACAACAGCTCTCAAAGAACCACAGCCATCAATTGCCTCGATATGTACCGACATCTGCTTATGCCTAAAACTATACGAGATCCATCGTCATTCCGACTGAATATGCTTCCTCTACGTCCATCAGTTCTCCAAAACCTAGCCCTCACCTGGTGTGATATGTCTCGAATATATAAAGAATGAAGTGTTGATCAGAACAATGAAAAATTATAAGAGAAGCATGAACCAATAAGTCTCTATATAACCTCTTTATTAAGATCAAGACGAGAGAGAGAGCTCAATATTACAAGTAGCGCCATTTTATATGAAAACAGAATGATTAAGGAACCGATTTAATTATGTCCAATAATAGTTGGGCATTTCGCGTTATATGTTAATAACGTATATCGTTGTCAGTATCTTTGTATTATTCATTTTTAGAGTATAGATTTATAGTAATCTCATACGACAAGATCAAGTATTTATAGCCCCCGACCAGTATGAGATTACGCTGAAAATTTTAAATTCAGATTTTTTTTTTTTACATTTTTTACTTACGCAATCGCATACTTTTACGAGTGGGCTTATTTGACTTTACATCTGGCATTATAGAAGTGAACATCATACGACGAGATCTTTTTAAAGGAGATGAAGTAGATGTAGAAGTAGATGTGGAAGGTCGTTTGACTTTTGTGGAGCCAGAGCGAGATTTCTTGACATCAGATTCATCATCACAGGAAAGTTCATTCATCAAAGAACTGATAGTACCAGGACGGCTAGTCTTCAACGCTTCAGAAGAAGAAGGAGAGTTTGTAATTTTTAAGTTCTTGGTTGGCATATAGGGCTTACCTAAGTTCTTCCAGTATGTATGAAGAGTATTGGGGTCTTTGAACTTGTCGGCAGTAGCCATTCGTCCCATTCGCTACTGTAGTGTTTCCAACGAACAAGGTACTCACGCTTATTAGCAAGTTCTCTATGGTTGATCACAGCTTCGATTTCATAGCTTTTGACCTCATTACCTTCATCATCTAATTCAACAACTTCCTCCTTGGATATGAGTCTGAGTTCAGTTCAAGTATAGTGACGAGGCATTAGAACACCAGCTTCATCACGCAGAATATACACGTTTCCAGCATTTTTACGTACAACTGTATAGGGTCCTTCATAGACAGGAGCAAGTTGACCATTCTTGGTAGGAATGCGAGCCATGACATGAGAGCCAGGAGCATAGTCAACAAGCTTATGTGAATCGTTGAATTTAGCTTGTTCAAGTTCCACTTGTGCTTTGGTTTTGTCGACAATAGCAGGAAAGACAATATCAGCCATGTAGTCGATGCATTTCATCAGCCCCTCATGAGACATTGGCGACTTACCTTCGACTTGCTTAAGCTTATCTTTGTCAGAACGATAACCATGAGGTTCATTCATTTTACAAGCAAACATCAACAAAAAAGGGGATAAATTCAAGCGCTTAGAGATTCTATTATTTAACGCGAGCTGGATAGCAGGAAGATGGGTATCCCAGTCATTACCAACACAGTTTGTAGCTTTTGCCAACATCTTTTTAACAGATTGGATAAAGCGTTCATTCAAGTCATTTGCAGAAGCGTGAAGAGGAGCGATGAATTTATGATCATAGCCCATAGTATCAGCTAAATCTTTTGATAAGGAATTTTTAAATTCTGTACCATTATCACTTTGGAGTTTAGTAGGAAACCCCATTATAGAGAATATGTCAATTAGCGTACGTAGAACCGTATCTGATCTTTTATCAGGCAAGGCATGTATGATGCAAAAGCGCGTACAGACGTCGATAATAACTATAAAATAATTATTACCATAAATAGAAGTGGAGTGTAAAGGACCACCAAGATCAATAGCATAATGATCTCCAGGATAGTAGCTATATACGCTGCGCATAGGATGATATCCTTTCTTTTCAATATTATGCCGCATGCATTCCTTACATTGTCTAATGAATTTAATACAATCAGATATCAAGTTTGGCCAATGAATGCCTTCATTATGAAGACGTTTAACCATCTGTTCAGCACCATAATGACCAATTTTGTTGTGGGCATTGTCAAGTAGCTGCTGATGCTCTAAATTAGGTGAAATTAAGTAATCCTTATAAACTGTCTGTCCAGATTGAAGATAAAATATATTTTCATTAGGAGTAATAGGGTTCTCCTTATTTTTGAAGTTTTGATCATGATCTTTTAAGGCGACACACGAAGTGGCTAGGTCGATGATACGGGCGACATCGAAGGTCGTGGGCAAGGCGTCCACTAAAACATTATTGACAGCAATATCAGAATTGGCATGAGCTCTTTGCCGCTTCTTGATATTTATATTATGAGATTCTGCATGATTTCGTCTTAAAGAAGCAAGTCTTTTGCCCTCATGAATGTCAAGTTCATGTCCAACAGTGTCTTTAGGTGGGTACAACCTTGATAATTTATCAGGTAGGATGTTATCTAAACCACGGACATGAACGACATCAAAAGTGTAATCTAGAATAACATCGAGCCATTTAATAAGCATGCTATTGGCCTCCTTTTGGGAATGGATATAGCAAAGTGCTTTGTGATCAGTGTACAAGATGAATCGAGTGCCCCAAATAAATTTATGGAACTGAGTAAGAGCATAAATGACTCCAAGTAATTCACGCATTGTCGCACTGTAACGTTTTTCACTTTTAGACAAAGAACGGGACATAAAGCCTATTTACCGATTTAACTTTGATGTAGTGCCATCAGAGTTGGTTATTTCATATTCTTGAAATAGACAACAGCCTAACGCAAAGTCAGAGGCATCAGTAGCAATACAAAAAGGGCGCGACAGATCTGGATGCGAGAGAACGATTTCAGAAGATAAAATACGTTTGATGCTGTCAAAATGTAATTGATGTTCAGAAGTCCAAACAAAAGGACCTTTAAGCTTCTCATCATGAGAATGCAAGGCGTCTAACGGCGCCATCAAGAGCGCAGCATTTGGAGTATGCTGCCTAAAATAGTTAACAAATCCAAGAAAGCTCTGGACTTGCTTTTGTGTGGTTGGACGAGGCCACTCGTGGATATTTGTTAACTTGCGGGCATCTATTTTCTTGCCTACAGCGGATATAGAATAACCCAGTAAATAAATAGCAGATTTTGCCAAATAAGTTTTTTCAAAATTAATTCGCAGATTTGCATTCGTAAGAATTTGCAAAACTGTTTTGACATGAAGGAAATGTGCATGCATAGAAGAGCTGAAGATACAGATATCGTCAACAAAGCATTTAACATAAGGGAGATCTTTAAACAGCGTGAGCATTACACGGGAGAATAATTAATTGATAGTGGATATACCAAAGGGAGCACCTCGGTACATGTACTGGAGATTATTTGGAGCAGTAAATGTTGTTTTGACTTGATCAGGTCCATACACAGGGAACTGATTAAAGGCAGATTTAAGATTCAAAGTAGAGAATACAACTGCATTAGACATTGAGTTAAAAATGTCACTGATTAGTGGAAGTTGATGATTATTGACAGGTAAGACCTTATTCAGCATACGAGGATCTAAGACCAGTCTAATCTTATCAGTTACAGTACCATCCAAATTCTTTTTAAGAGTTACTGTCATGGGTAGATTCCAGGCAGAAGATTGAGCAGGTACAATTATGCCATCCTCTAGCCAACTATTAATTATTTCCATTACTTTAGGTTGTAAAGTGTATGGAATTGGATATTGTCGAATATTAGCGACGTAGTTGTCAGGAGTAGGAAGATAAAGGACAGCTTCTGGTAAATTACAGAGGGTGTTTTTGTCTAATTGCTGGTTGGCATCAATGTATGGCTGGATAGCCTTATCAAACACTAGTTGCTCTTTATTAGTGCCTGCTCTAGAGACGTTAGGCTCATAGGCTTTATCAATCGTAGAATCATCAATTTCCTTTTCAGCACTTTTATGCTTTACGGCTACGTTTGATAGATGGATAGAGAGTTTAGGAAGAAGATCAATACCAATGAGAATCTTGTTTTTGTAAGAGAGAATGCTATCATCAATGACATCAAATTTGTGTTTAATGGAATGATAGGCATTATCGTATTCAACAATGAGAAAGTCAGTAGTTTGCAGCCTTTGAATCTTTGAACCATTAACGAGGACAATATGACCTAGAATAGGTTTAAATTGGATATTATTAGCATTAGCGAAATTTTTGTTGATAACGGAAACGTTAGCACCAGTATCAATAATGCCATAAGTATTAATATTATTTAAGGTAATTGGAGTGACAGGTGAAAAGGACACACTATCAGATTCAAAAGGATTATCAATGTCTCCTACGGTACTGTTACGTAAAGCAAAAACATTGGAATCATTACCACTCTCATGATCACAATTAGACAACACATTAGGTTTGATAAGATCATTATCAACCTCTTTGAATAAGAGATCAAAGTCATCATCAGAAGAAAAGTCATAATGTTTGTGAGCAGGGTTAAAGTTATTTTGACTAGAAGTAGAAGACAAGTTAGTACTGCTACTTTGATTGTGTTTAGATTAATAACGATTAAGGCTAGAGTTGAAGGGTACTTTAAGGCTACCAATTGTTTTGTCATTATTCATTTTTTCGTTATTGCTTACCAAAGGAGGCCCTCCACCACCCTTCCAAGTTTGCACATCCACTGGGCTATACCGCGACTAGTAGATGAAGGAGTAGTATAGGGGGCCAAGGGAAGGCAGGATGGGTGACTGGCCACGGGGAGGATGTGTAGAACTACATGATGAGAAAGATATCCAAGGAAGACAAGGCTGTCCAAGTTGGAGGGGTATGATCATGGAGGTAGGAGGCTTTTAAAAGACCAAGGTAAGGACAGGTGGGTGGGTCATCGGTCATCCAGCTGTGGGTGTCTCTCCTTACCCCACACCCACTCCTGTATACCTGTCATGCACGCCCTGATCTTTGCAGCATTGTACGCCTCCAAATTATCGAACTGCCACCGCTATGCGTCACAGTTATATCGAAGTGATGTGGTCGCAATGGGTTACCTCCTTGTGTCCAATAGTACTTGTAATCATCTGAGCCTCGAATGCTAAGTTTAGTCTTACCTGTAGAAACTACTCATCTCTGCGCATCAACTGTACAGTTCCAATTTTTTCTTATCCTTTTCTAACTGAAGCCTCGTAGGTTTGTTTGTAAAAAGTGCCGTCTTCTTTTTGATGAAAACTCGAACATTCGTTGATTTGGCAACAATATTTGTTGGTGAGCACGATATCGGCAGATCCAACTGTTCGAAAATCAGGGAAATCTCGCTTGTCATGCGTTAATGGCCTCGGATTGCAAGTAAGTTGATATATTCCCTTGCACAATTTAGTATAATACCTGTCGTTCCATCTGGATTTTGCTGCCTGTTCAGAATCACTTGGTTAGTATATCGTTTAACTGCCGCTAAGCATACTATAAGCTCAGCTGCAATGTCTTCAGGGGCATTGCTATCCAATAGTGAGAACCTAATGCATTGCTGCTTACCATACGGTAAACACTTAAGCGATTAAGAGAAGAAGTGTGGATAGTAATGGTTGAACTTTAAGCAAAGGTTGTTATACAGAATAAGAGAGAAGTATCACCGTTTGCATAACAACTCACGACTACATTGATTGTAGTTTTAGCTGGAATGTACAGTACTGTAATATCTAATATTACTGCAGAGGAATGTGAAGTTTAAAATTTAATAACTGAATTCTGAATTTGAAAATGCCGACTACGCGGAGTTTTTAGAGCGTTGTTCAAGAATGCCTTCATGTATTAGGCTCATTTTTTAAATACAATATGACTATACGCTATGCAACGTTTGTTGAGGCTGTCATTTGTACAGAAGCAAAAAGCGGAAATATGAGAACGTTGTCCAGGTTGTTGCGCCTGTTGTGCCATCACAACATTATCAATAAATATTCACAGCTACTGCTCTTCGGCTATAGCTTGTTCCACATTTAGCCTATCATATGTGAACTCTCTTATACCTAACCCCTGGAGCGCCGTTACAATACTTCAATTGAACGCCAGTGCTCCTGTAGTACAGATCAATGTGTTTTGCCAAGTACAAAGGTAAGAGACAAAAACTAATAAGATGAGAAGAGGATAGGAAAAGGACAATAAGTCAGTGAGACTGAAATATATGATATCGTTATCGTGTGTAGATGTTAAAAAGTATAAATACCATCGTTTTATTCATCATAAATAAAGGAGGTGGTTCAGGACTACGTGTTTGCTTCGCGTCCCCGTTGTCCTTCTCCATGTTTGTAGGTGGGGAGGCATGGACCAAACGGCTATACACATAAATTACAGGTCATCCAAGATGTGGGAGGCCGTTTGGGAAGTTATATTCAGGGATCTTTTAAAGCAAGACCGTCCACCTGGACACGGCACACACAGGTGGCTGATATTAGGTAAGGAATGGGGCCCCACCTACAAACATGGAGAAGGACAACGGGGACGCGAAGCAAACACGTAGTCCTGAACCACCTCCAAAGATATCATATATTTCAGTCTCACTGACTTATTGTCCTTTTCCTATCCTCTTCTCATCTTATTAGTTTTTGTCTCTTACCTTTGTACTTGGCAAAACAGCGCCTACTGTATAGCCAGCTCAGTTTAAATACCTCAGCTTCTTAATATATAATTATAGATTGTGCTATCATCTCTTTTCTTTTGACTTTATTCTGAATAAAGATACAACACAGTCTCATCGTATTTTCTACTTTGTTTAAACCTATCCAAATCCAAATACAACACGAACAATAAAAATTAATAAAATAAAATAAAAAAATAAAAAAAAATGGTGGTAACCCGAAAAACAAGAGAAACAATATCGGCGAATTCAATTAACAGTAATCTGCAGATACTATTCTAACTTGTTGTATAGGAGCCGACTTGACGAAACAATGGGGTGCTGTTGTACGAAAGAGGACTTGAGATCGACAAGAAGTACCAAGCGAGCTGACCTTGAATAGAGCGGGAGTTCAAAGACCAAACTTCCAGTGACGTAAAATTTCTGAGTTTGAACTCCGGCACTTCTTTAGGCTTCTTTACCATGTACTTCTTTAACTTCTTGCCGTGCAGCCAATCCCACCAATCAGTTACTACCCAGACAAGGAAGAACGTATCTCCATGGTCACCTGGGAGTCACGTGATGTTTACAGATTCCACAGTTGAAATATAGTACTTCACAGAAAAATGTGGAGGGATGGCCGAGTTGGTCTAAGGCGACACGTTAAGGTCGTGTTCTCTTCGGAGGCGTGGGTTCGAATCCCACTCCCTTCATTGTTTTTGCCATTGTTGTATACTGAAGCACAATTTCCTTTTGCCGTTCTTGATGAACTCTTATATTTAAAAGGAAATGATAAGGGTTAACTTTTGTGTAGTGAATTATCTCCCTTTTTTATTTAATTTGACTATGAGGGATATTTATACTGTAGTGTAACAATAGCGGAGTTGAAACGGATGAACTTCGTGACCCTCACGAACTTCATGAGGCAGACGAACTTCACGACTTGTATGAAGTTCATGTTCCTCATGAAGTTCAAACAAATGAATTATAAATTATTTTAGTATAAATACATTCAATATTTTTAAATAAAAAAAAGTTAGTTATCTGTTAGTTAACTGTTAGTTATCAACTTTTACTTTCTAATACATTTTGTATTTTAGAGTATCTTTTTATTACTCTTCTATACTTTTACTTTTCTTTTAACACTCTTAACTACCGATACGCTTATCCTGAAGCCTCGTATCAGTAGAATTCACTTTTATCTTTACTTTTATTTTTATATAACTCAAGTTATCTCTTTTGATCTATTAAGATCTGGTGGTCACGCGACAAAAACTCTTATATAACTCAAATTACATTCAAGCCTTTACCCAAATCTAACCTTTTTACAGTAGCACAGTGATACCATTGTAACTACTATTTTTGGGAATTTGTTTCAGAGGACGACATTGTTGAAGGACCAAGTTGTCAAAAGACAAAGTCATCCCAAATAGGAAACCAACAAAAAAATAATATAGTATAAATAACATTATCCTCTACAGCAATAAACCTACACTTTTAGCATCACATTTACTTTTATTTTTATTATCACTTTTATTCTTACAATAAATTCTTATTGTACCTCTTAGGAGGTGATCCAAGTTTATGTCAGAGGAATTTATCCTCGGTAACCATTTCATGAATAGAAAGTCAACGGCAATTAAGTAGACCCCCTAGTTTAATACCCCTACTACCACCCCAGTAATTGTTCCTGTTTTTAAAAATTAAGAGGATGTATTTTCTGGGTGAACACAACTTTCTGGATGTGACATCGAGTGTAAATCCTGGGGGTCTACTTAATTGCCGTTGACTTTCTATTCATGAAATGGTTACCGAGGATAAATTCCCCTGACATAAACTTGGATCACCTCCTACTACAAAGAGTAGAACGAAGGGCTATCTATCTCATATGATAGACTGTACATGTCGCCGACGGGGGTGTTGAAAAATCCAAATTTGGTCATTCGGTAGAATCGTTTCACCACCTGTTGGTGAAACCATGTATAAAGCTATGGACTGAAATGTATAGCGTGAAAGACGGAGGTCTCTGACTAGTATCCATAGTTTTAAAGATAATATGTTGCCTCCTGATGTTCAAGCTGCCTTTACCTTAATCATGAACATGTACTGGCAGTTTCTTACTCTGGGTTGGCCCATCCTCGAGAAGAAGAAGTATCATAGAACAGATACCAAAGAAGTTAAGGATATAGGCTTTGTCAAGACAACTGTATTGCAACGCTTGGGCTATATTCCGGTTTTCTTTTTCTTGGTCGAGTTCTTCGCTAAAGAGGAATACCCGGGACCATATCGAGGTGTAGAGAAAGGGCTTCTAGTTTTATATCAACTGTTAACGGGACTTTCTATTGCTCAAATGGCCAGATTTATACCTTCAAGCAGTTTCCATGCCATATACAATGCCTTCTATGTTAAACACGGTGATAGGTTAAATAGTATGTTGGATAAATGTCTTGCTACTATGTTTTCCTCGACGAAGGGTCGTATTATTTGTGCCAGGCATAACAACCCCGAGGGCTTTAAACATGTACAGTGACTCACAAAACTGGCAACATGTTTGCTCATTTTTGGGTTTTTTCTCAGTATTCGCAGCTGGGTACACTGTATAGCTATGTGCATAGAGCATAAGTATCTACTACTCGCGCACTACATACAGTGTTGAATACGAAGTATCAATTAAAAAAAATAAAGACTAGAATTAACCAGACTAAAAAGATATATGTCGATTGACTTTATTAAAGACGAGTATTTATACTAAATGTGAGACACTCTTCAACTGAGATCGTAAAACTTTTCATAGAGGCTTATGAATGACAATTGAGGCAATGAGAGAGTTAGGACGAATCGGGTGCCTTTGATAAGACAATGATCCCTAATAACAATGATGGATCAGAGTTATTGGATACGCGTACCTTAAAATACAGTTCCTGGTAATCAGCTTAAATAATGATCCACACAGTTGTTTCAAAGTAACAAGCTGAAGTCGAATAATCGCCAGTTATTGTTTCATATGTGGTTAATAGTTGATCCACTAAGTATGAATACAACATACAGTGAGGGACAAAACTGTCCCAATGTTTTGCATTTTTGTATTTCTTCCTCTATAACTCGCTTATTTTTGCTCCGATTAAAATAAAAATAGCATCATTCGAAAGA